AAAAGTTCTGCGAACCGATCGAGGTCATGAATATTTATCTGATCAGTTTAGAAATTTTTGTGATGAAATGGGAATAGAATATCAATTAACTATTCCAAGATCTCCGCAACAAAATGGTGTTGTAGAACGAAGAAACAGAACCCTACTTGAGATGGTGAGGTCTATAATGGCACAAGCGAACTTGCCCATCACCTTTTGGGGTGATGCCTTATTGACTGCCACTTATATCCTCAATCGAGTACCATCCAAATCTATTACTACTACACCATATGAGTTATGGACAAATCAGAAACCCAATTTGAGTCTCCTAAAGCCATGGGGATGTGTTGCTTATGTTCATGATCCTTCCCATAAATATGGAAAATTAGGTCCAAGGGGGAAGAAATGTATCTTCATAAGATACTCAGAACATTCAAAGAGATACGTCTTTATAGGAGAACAAGAAAGTGGTAGCATCACTGAGTTTGAATCATGAGATGTCACATTCTTAGAAACCGATTTTCCTAAGAAGGGCGAGATAGGTAAAGACTCGTTTCTATATGAAACACGAGACCAAGGCAATTATGTTGCCGACAATCAGTTGGTTATACTACATCCCAGTGGGAGCAATATGAAAGTTGATGAATCAGTTTCAGATCCTCTATCATTCCCTACTTGCGATCCAACTATGATAGCTGGTCCAAGTGGGAGTAACACCAATCAATCTCCAATATGTCGTTCAAACAGGAAACAAGTTCCACATCGACGATTTGAGATTGAGGGAGAAATTTTTCTAGTTACTTCACAAGATGAAGAAGAGCCACGGAATGTCAATGAGGCTCTCAATTGCCCTTCTAAGGAAAAATGGATGAAAGCAATTGAAGAAGAATTGGAGTCTATGAAATCAAACCAAGTATGGGAATTGGTTGATTTATCAAAAGGACGCAAAGCCATTGGGAACAAATGGGTTCTCAAAATCAAGCGTAAAGCTGACGACAGTATCGAAAGATACAAAGCTCGCTTAGTCACGAAGGGGTATACACAACGAGAAGGAATCGATTATGAAGAAACATTTTCGCCTGTTATGCGGTTTACCTCAATCCTACTTATTCTAGCTATAGTTGCTAGCATAGATTTTGAATTGCATCAAATGGATGTAAAGACTGTTTTTCTCAATGGAAAATTACGAGAAGAAATCTATATGGACCAACCAATAGGTTTTATTAGAGAAGGTCAATAACACAAAGTGTGTAGACTTTTAAAGTCAATTTATGGCCTCAAGCAATCCTCAAGACAGTGGTATATTTGATTTCATAATGCGATAATGTCGTATGATTTCAAAATGATAGATGAAGATCACTGTGTATATACAAAGAGATCCAATAACAAATTTGTTATATTATCATTATATGTTGATGATATACTTATAGCTGGAAATGATAAGGGATTTTTCAATGAAATCAAAGGATGGTTATCATCTCATTTTGAGATGAAAGATATGGGTGAAGCTGCATATATTCTTGGAGTCAAGATTTCAAGAGATCGCTCAAGAAAATTAGTATCTCTTTCACAAGAACCATACATTAAGAAAATTCTTGAACGATTTCATATGCAAGATTGTAAACCCATAGACAACCCTATTGCGAAAGGCGAGACTTTAAGTCGTAAAATGTGTCCGAAGACTCCACAAGAAAAGGAACAAATTAAGAATGTTCCTTATACAAGTGCTGTTGGAAGTCTCATGTACACCATGATGTGCACTAGAGCATAAATCTGTTATGCCGTTGGGTTGGTAAGTAGATACCAGTCCGACCTAGGACAAGCACATTGGAAAGCAGTGAAGAGAATCTTAAGATATCTAAAAGGGATAGCTGATTACTCATTATGTTATCAAGGAAATGATTTACACTTGAGAGGCTACACCGATGCTGATTAGGGAGGAGATTTAGATGAAAGGAAATCTACTTCCGGATATGTTTTCTTACTAAATGGTGGGGCCATATCTTGGAGCAGTAAGAAACAATCATGTATAGCCTTATCTACAATGGAGGTTGAGTTTGTAGCATTTTCAGCTGCAGTGTAAGAAGCCGTTTGGTTAAGATGATTCATGAATCATCTGGGAATAATTAATGTTGCTATTGAACCAGTAAGAATAAACTGTGATAGTCAAGCTGCAATAGCATACACTAAGGATCCCAAATATCATTGTAAAATGAAACACATAGATATCAAATATAATTTTGTGCGAGACTTGGTGGCATAAAAGGAGGTGAACATGAAGTACATATCTACGCATGACATGGTTGCGGATCCATTCACAAAGCCTATACCAAGAGATACTTTCAATAGACATGTTAAATCTCTAGGCTTATGTAGGTGTTTAATGTACTCATACTTTGAGATTTCCCAAAATTATTCACATTTGTCTTATCAATATTAAATAACAATATTGTCAATGTTCAATTTAGATTATTATGGAACATACATGAAGAAGTATAAATATATATACATATTAGTTATGTAAATATTATATATATATCTATTTTGAAAAGCATGTCGGACAATTAAAAGATTGACCTTCTCACATAGGCAATCGCCTCCATTACTTCGTAGAATGGAGATGAGATGATTTTAAGCTTATTATCTAGGTGATAATAGAGAGCCAAGCTTAAAATGTTTAACGTCGCCTAAAAATAGAAGTAAAATAATGTCATAATGAAATGTGACCATAAGTGATAAATGATCACTTTATCTGTCTAATTACCAGATTAGAGTTCTGATGAATTAAATGTATGTAAAGTGAACTCAAGTTAGACATTAGGTATGTCTGAACTGAAATATGTACAACATTTACAAGAAAAGAGACATGCACTCCATGGGAAAGGAGGAAATGCTGTAGCATGTGATTCATACCACATATGCAAAACATTGACCAAAGNGCCTTTTCCGGTCAGGCCAGAAAAGGCCAAATCTAAGGCCAAAGATCTGGCCGTTGACGGCTAGATCTTTGGCCGTAACAGTTTATAACGAAGGCCAACAAACGGTCGTCGTTGACCATCAACGACGACCGTTTATTGGTCGTCGTTGATGAGCAAACACGGCTAGATCTGGCCGTAGATCTGGCCTTTGTCGGCCAGATCCACCGTGGATCTGGCCGGCAAAGGCCATATCGGCGCACGACCGGCAAGATCCAGCCGGTCATGCGCCAATACGGTGAACCCGGCCACCCTCCGACGGTGCTGGCCGGCTATCCGTATTTGACATTGGGTTGGGGGTGTTTTTGTTAACTTTTAAGATTTTATTATAGGGGGTGTTTTGTAAATAAATAAATATAGGGGGTATTTTATTAATTTATAAATCCTACATTATAATACCCGCCCAATTCAACTTTTTTTTTAACTTTTTTCAGAAAACTTTTCCCAAAAATACCCAATTGTGAACCAAATGAAGCCTTAATTTTTGAAAGTGGCCGGTGTAGATGTGGAAGCTTTTTATTTTATTTTATTTTATTATTTTTTTAATTACCTGCACTACAATATAATTCGATTACATCGGATATGGAAAGAAAGAGGAAATTTGTGGTACTTAATTTGAGAAATTTAATTTCACCCATAAGGTTTGGGAAGGTGACAGGTTTCAGAAAGTCATAAAGACACCCACATTTTTAACTGAAGTTAAGAAAAACTAACATTAAGAGGGTAAAAACGCAAAAACATATTTCTCTTTCTTGTCCACTTTTCTTTTTCATCTTCTAATTTGCTTCTCCTCCATTTCTCTCTCTCTCTCTCTCTCTTTTTTTTTTTTTTTTTAATGTCTTTCTTCTCCAATTTTCAAGTATATTTTGGATTTGTGAAGTTATAAGCATTGTTTTAAAATCTGAACCGAACTAGTCCAACCGAGACTTGGTAACCTCTCTGGTCCGGTTCAAGTTCCAAGGGGGTTTTTGTTATATTTCAAATTTGTAATTTTTAGAGGTGTTTTTAAATATTTCATAACTTTAGGGACTAATTGAGTTTTTTGGGCATTTTAAAATAAATTAAAAATTTTAGGAACTAATTTGCAATTTCGGGATATTTCATAATATACTAAAATTTAATAGACTAATTTATAATTTTTTATAAATTCTTGCTGATGTCATCGATCCAACCGGTTGGATCAGTCGACTTGTGACCCGATCACCTTGCTAGGTCTCACAATAGGTTAGGTTTTAAAACAATGGTTATAAGTATTTCGGATGGCTTGATTTGGCTTCTTTGGTGGCAGATCGGGGTTGAAATGGCTTTCTCATAGTTGTGTAGGGTTAAAAATGGGGAGTTGAGAAGACATGAAAGAGAAAAGTGGAGAAGAAAGAGAAATATTTGTTTCCATTACTACCCTTTTAAAGTTAATTGTGTTTTAACGGCAGTTAAAAATATGGGTGTGTTCATGGCTTTTTAAAACCTGTGGATGTATTAATCATTTATTTACGACAAACCTTTCGGGTGAACAAAGAATTTCCCACTTAATTTGTAGAGAAGTCACACATTGAAGTTGCGTGGGATTTAGGTGAGTCAAGCATGGAGTGTTTACACGGTTACACCTACCCATTTGTATTATAATAAGATAAGCAGTGAACTTAGAAGTTTCCTTCAATTAAAAGTGGACTTCAAACTTCACTATCACATTCAAAACTATAATAGTACATAAATGGATTGACTACAACTACCAACACCCATGTTTCATGCCTAATTTAATATTCCTAATATCATCACCTTAATTAACAAAATTAAAAGATTTATTTGCTAACTATTTTAGAGATTTTGTCCTTGTAAAATACAAAAAATTATGTCCAACACGTCACGTTTTGTTATTTCTAGTTTTAGAAACTATTTTCAAAATACAGATTTTTGTTTTTCTTCAAAAATAAAATAAATAAAGTTCAAATCCCCAGATGATTTTTTTTTTTTTTTTTTTTTTTTTAAAGTTCCATCTTCCATCCTTCTATAAATTAAGGTTTTTTCACTTGACTGGCTTTTACAGAAATGGCGAGTGAGGTGTCGGACCACTTGGAGCCATGGCGCCACATCAACGACAAGGTGGTTATGGTCACCGGTGCCTCTTCTGGTTTAGGTCTCCAGTTCTGTCTCGATTTGGCAAAAGCCGGCTGCCGGATCATAGCTGCGGCTCGGCGCGTCGATCGACTCAAGTCTCTCTGTAATGAGATCAACAAGTCAGGGAGTATTAGAGCCGCAGCTGTGGAGCTTGACGTCTGCGCCGATGGAGCAACCATTGATAAGTCCGTACAGAAGGCTTGGGAAGCGTTTGGGAAAATCGATGCTTTGGTTAATAATGCCGGTGTTAGAGGTAATATATGTATAATTTATTACTTTTTTAATTCGTTTTTGGTTGATTTTGATTTTGTTTGTTTGCTGTCAGGAAATAATTGAATAAATGTTGTCAGTCTGTTAGAATATAGGTGTCACGTGGTCACTGAGGAATTTTTAGGTATTTAGATGGAAAGAAAAAGTGATAGGCATAATTTCATTGTATGAACACACCGGATGATGTGGCATACTCGTCTCACTTAAGTCTTTTTCCAGGATAAAGTAATTGGAAAAGGGTATTGTTTTGTTTGTTTTTGTTTAATTGGGTTTCGGTTTAGTTACTTATTTGATGCTTATGTTGATGGCTCTCATTCAGATTATTTGGGAACTTAATTCTGGATTTGAGGGAGCGGTTGAATAAATTGGTTTCTAGTTGACAGTTCATCTCCATCCCATGGCAGTAATTTTATGTTCTGTTATAATTAGTGTTGCAAAAACTCTCAGTGTGTTATGATCTCTAGTATTTTTCACATTATTAATTGATATTACCATGTCTCTGTTGCTTCCAAAGAGCCCTATGCTTAACTTACTGCTTTTTTTTTTTTTTATCTTTTTTGGATATGAGAAATAGATGTTATGGACACTTCAAATATGTTGTGGAAAGTCATTTCTCTTTGCTTATTAGTTGCATTATATCTAATCATTTCATAATTTTTGCAGTTAGTGGGCTATGACTGTTGAGTTTCTGATTACGGCCGTTCTTTTGAGTTTGTTTTATTGTTTCGAAAAAGGAAAAGATGAGAAGTTTTACTTTTAATGGTTGGAAGGTTTCTGTTGAAATGATTATGGAGGCTTAAGTTCCTAATATCTTCTTTTGTGACCCTCTTCCTCATCTCCCTTTCTCTCAAATGAGTTTCATATTTATAATGTCTTATGGATTCCATTATGGTTACTTATTATATCAATGTGAGGTGGGCAGACCAAACTACAAGTACACTTACAAGTGTGTTTACATGATCTTGGTTATTCTTCATCTCATAATGTGTTTATGGTGATTATGGTTTTCAGTATCGGTTTCACCTTCCTTGATTTGAGCCGTAACTCCCTTTTCAGTATAGTAGCATGAATTATTTGCCTTTTTCTCGTGGTTTTGGTTTTCTGATTTTATTTGATGTATGTATGAGTAATTACTATGGCTTATATTTTTTATGTGTCTTTGCTGTGCACCTCAGGTAATGTGAAGTCTCCATTGGATTTGTCTGAGGAGGAGTGGAATCATGTTTTCAAAACAAATTTAACAGGATCTTGGTTGGTGTCAAAGTATGTCTGCATACGTATTCGTGATGCAAATCTGGGAGGATCAGTGATCAATATTTCTTCCATAGCTGGTCTTGAACGTGGTACAACTACCTGGAGCTGTTGCATATGCTTCTTCAAAGGCGGGCCTAAATACCATGACTAAGGTAATATCATATGAGATTTTTTCTGGTTGTTGTAGATTAATAGTTCTTAATGTTTTGTTTCTAATTGTCTCCTGGAAGGTCATGGTGTTATGCCTATAAGATAGAGTTGGTCCTTTCACTGAGTGTTAAACTTGTAATGGTTCTACCTTTTAGCCTCACAAAAATATGCAAACACTGTTGAGGAAATGTCATGTAGAGAGCAGATTGTTAAAAATGGGGAAAGTGGAGATCGAACCTCTTTGTACAAATCATGGAGTAGAGATAATGAGACTGAAATTTTGTGGGGAAAATGTATACGGTCACAAGCATTTAGTTGCTACAAAATGGTGATTGTTATGTATATACATTATGTAAAAGTATAATATGGTTATGACACAGTCAATTTTAGCGAGACTACTCAACCTTAACCCAAAATAAAGATTAATTGGAGTCAAAGCTCAGCTCAAGCTCTAAAAGCTATGTTTGGCCACTATTTAAAATTCTATATTTATATATTCAAGATTCTTTCACATATGAAGTTTATGGTTTTTCCAGGAAAAGTCAAATGTTTTTAGGTTTTCCCCCAACAATAGCTTGTCTAGCTGAGACTTTGCACCATCTCCTATTCTCTGATCTTCCAAGGCCCTATATATCTCTTTCCTCTCAAGAACTAGAAAAGCTGGAACACAGTAACTCCAACTATTGGAAATGCTTGGAAACGTTATCTAGCTCTTAATAACCTGACATATTTGTGGATTGACTCATTATTAGATGAAGCTAACAGTATTTTGGCTTTTAGATGAACATAGCTGCATTGTGTATTGTTTGAATAATCTTCCTGTTTAACCTCTTTTTCCTTGCTCTTCACCTTTAATTTGTTACAAAAACGTTCATAATGCTATCCCAACTGGTAGATTTGAACATCTTTTAGTACATCTTTTAATTGTCTTGACTAGGCTGTAAATTTTGGAATTGATTTCTCATTTTCTATTATTTGTTAGTGGGATACCGCTTTACCGTTGGTTTAGCTTTCCGCCTTAATTTTAGATGGGAAACCAACAACAGTTGGCCTTTATCCAGTAATATGTACTCTAATTTGCATTGCTTGTGTTTTATTTCAAAGTTTTCACTTCAGGCTTTCATTTAACTACTGTCCTTGATCTGTTCATTCATCATGCTGTTTTCTGCTGAAGAATGATGTGCATTAGAATGCCATAATGATAATGATGGTTTTGTTAGGTCATGGCTCTGGAATTAGGGGTCTACAAAATCCGAGTGAATTCAATATCTCCTGGACTTTTCAAATCTGAGATCACCGAGGGTCTTATGCAGAAAACCTGGCTAAATAATGTGGCCTTGAGAACAGTCCCTTTAAGAGACCATGGTAACCCAGATCCGGCATTGACATCGCTTGTCCGATACCTAGTTCATGACTCTTCAAAGTACGTGACAGGCAATACATTCATTGTTGATGCAGGGGCCACATTACCCGGTGTACCTATTTTCTCTTCTCTTTAAATTATCACCAAAAACAAAAATTGTATGTATTCTCCAGTATGAATGTTAGTAGTACTCTTGGACTTGAAGTTTGTTTAAATATCAAATGGAGAAACCATTTTGTCATGTTTTGTTATTTCTAAGAGTTCAATGTAAAAACTTAAATGACAAACTGTGTTAGGTCTTCAACAATGGGATAGATAGAAGCTTGGAGGTGTTTTCAGCTCTACAAATCTGAAGTGCAGGGTTAAATTTATGGTGATAAAATCCTTTTCCTATCCAATATAACCTAACCTTTGTCCTATCACAAGTATTTGCTTAATCGATACATATAGGTTACCTTTAAAGCTATGCAGAAAATTCTTGAGCATTACATTAAGCGAAAGAATAATTGATAAGACTTATCTCTCAGATAATCGGCAACTCTAGTGAATAAGTGCTTATTTTCAATAAATTAAATAAAGCGAGCAAGATGCCTTTCTGTTTGTGTCATGGTGGATGTGGGATTAATTAAATAATTTTCTACGATGAAAATTAAATGGGATTTAGAAAGAAATTAATAATTGAGGAGTACTACTTCTCATTGTTTTAAAAATGGAGCGTTCGTTGACCTAGTCAAGGGACCGGGGTTCGCGGGTTGACCGGTATGTAATAATCTCATCTTTAAGTAATTCTATAATTGTTATAAGTTTGAAAACTAACAAATACATCTTTAAAAGTTGAGTTTAAAATAAAATAAATACACCCTCAAGTTTTATTATTAATTATTTTTCTCTCCTTCCATCACTTTCATCTGTCACTTTTCTTCCTCTCTCCCCATCAGGCCATCAATCTCCATCAATTTCTTTTTTTTTTCTTTTTTCTCTCTCTCTCTCTCCCCATCACTCCCCGTCACTTTTTCTCTCTCTCTTTCTTCTTCGTCTCTTTCTTCTTCCTCTACTGTAATTTTTATTCACTTTCTTCTTTCTTCTCCTTCTCTTCATCTCCTCTTTTCTTTCTTGGAATCTTCTTCCTTACTCTTTCTCATGTCTTCTCTTCTCTTTCTTCTTCCTTTCCTTCCCCTCCCCTTACTTCTTCTTCTTTACAATTGAAGATGAAAATGAAAGATAATAAAACGGTGCTGAAATTAGTTTAGGAATATGAATTTTTTTGAATTAGACGAACTATTTTAAGCCACAGGCCGATCGGTTCGACGGTTTTATACTATTCCGTAGGTCCATTATCGGTTCAAAATGGGTTTATTGACATTCTCGGTTTTATGTAAACCCAGACTGAAGTAAAAGACGACTCTTGGTTGAACCAATCAGACCAGACCGTCCGGTCTGGATTTTAAAACAGAACCACTTCTATAAAGTTTGTATACAAAATTAATTATACAAATTGATGTGACATTATATTTTAATTGATATATCATTTATCTTTATTTAATAAGTTAACTTTACACATTCATGGGCCTCACCTATCATTTTGTACAATAATCAATGTATATAAATTTTATAAGAGTAGTATTATTCATAATAATTAACTCAAGGTAAGAGAATAAATGAACAAAACAAAGAAACAAGGGTCAAAGTGTGAGAATTGAGAGATATAGGACCTTAAAAGTGAAAACTCACGGACCTCTAGATTATAAACACATTTCTCTATGATTACAAACTACTTCCAGCCCTTTTAAATTTTAATAGCTGTTCAAAACCACATTTAGACATTAGATAAATATCATTTTAGGGACACTTATCCCTTTTATCAATTCATGGCTAATATGATAAGGCCATGTATTACTCTTAATAAATGGCTAACTTAATTGCTAAGAAAATATAGTGAAAAGCAATAATATTGACACGTCATAATACTGCCCCTTGGATTTTCACCACTTATAGATGATTATATTTACTTTGCTACGAAAAAACCCGATAAAAACTAGAACAGAGAAACATAATTATTTAAATATAAAATGATGTTGGATGTGCTCAAACTGTCTTATTAAAAACTTTACTAGGAAAACCTAGTGGGACAAAACTTGACTAAGAAAAAAAGAGTATAGTGTACAATTTGTATAACACACCGATTTCTCAAAAAATTGTTCCCTCAAATGAATGCTCCCCGTTATTACAACGAAAACTGATATGAATTAGTTTGGTGGCTTACTAAGCCGCCACAATTTGATGCCATACTCCAATTTCACAAAAGTTGATGTGGGTAATTATATGCATTCTCAGCTGGCTTTATTTCTTGTCTCTAGCGCATTTTGTGGGGATCATAAAGGTAACCAACACCAATATATTGATTGTAAATGCTAGGGTTAGGTCTACTATAATATACTAAGTATAATAGCAACTAATTGCATTAAGATACGATACTTCAAGGTTAAGTATCTTTTCATCATCGTCTTCATGATGAAATGGATCATACTTAGGATCAAGAGATCGAACCACCATTGGAGTACTCAATAGGTGAGCTTTACCTATATTAAAACCTTTTAGGATCTTTTCAATATAAACTAACTGATGGATCTATATTCCATTTGATTAATGCTTGATCTGCAGGTTGGGACACTAGTATGTTTCCCATAGATCCTTCATTTCAAATTCTATTTTAAACTACTGAATAGTCTTTGTAAACTCTTCAGGAGTTCCAATTAATTAAGTTTATGTCATTTACACATACTACTGCAATTGGCAAAACCAGATACTAATCCTTTATGAACACGCATGAGCATGGTGAATTATTAACATATCCCTCCTTTATTAAGTATTCACTTAGGTGATTGCACCATATTCTTTTGGATTGTTTCAATCCATAAAATGATCTTGGCAATACAAATTTCTTGGATTTGCTTTAGACTATATGAATACTTCAGGGAGTTTTATATAAATATCAATATTTATTATGCTACACAAGCATAGAGTGACCATATCAGTGAGACACATATCAAGTCTTTCTGATATTAATAACCTAATCATGTATTCAAATGTGATTTCATCCATCACTAGTGAATGCGTGTCACCGTAATCCATTCCAAGGTTCTACAGAAAACTTCTAGCCACAACTCCTGCTTTATATCTAGTAATTTTATTTTTCTCATTTCATTTCCTTGTGAGAACCCATTAGTGTTTCATAGATTTGACATCTTCAAGTGTTTGGACTACAAGTCCAAATACTTTATAATTTGCTAGGGAGGTCAATTCTTCCTTAATTGCTTTCCAGTTTGGCTAGTCATGTCACTGGCCACACTCATTAACAGTCGTGGCTTAGAATTATTATTCATAATTTCAATAGTTATTGTGAATATTTCATTGATGATCATATTTTCATGATTCCACATTTCTCTAGTATATGCAAAATTTATATATGCCACTTTTGAGTCAACAATTCTTTGTGCCATTTTTGGGCATTTGTCACTTTTAGGGCACTGCACTCTTATGCTTGTTCTGAGCATGCGCCATTTTTGGGGCTTTTGTCTTTTTTGACGCTTATGCCTCATCAAAGGCATGACCTCTTCTAGGGTTTGATCTCTTTAGAGATCATTATTTCTAAAGTTAAGTTGGAGAATGCGGTTTTATCTACAGCTCGAGCATTATTGTTAGTAAACCAGTGTTAGTTTTATTCTTTATTTTCCTCTTCTAGGAAATAAAATCTTTTGGATCCAGGAAAACTGCCATGCTTCTGGCGTGCAACACATAAATTGTTCCTGGCCACTTTAACACACTGTTTAGCTTGAATATTAATTCACACTGGTTTATTTATATATAATTTTGCTATGCATCTACAAAAGCATCCATAATTTTATAAACAATATTTTGGAGATGCATTATTCTTCGCACTTCATTTTCACATTGAGGCTTGTGAGAATCCAATGAGATATTTTATGTTACTTTCCATGAAAGTTCATCCCTTACTTCAAAAGGCTTTACATTTCCTTAAACATAGGAGTATTGTCTCATTAAAAATCCATAAAAATGTGCGATAATGATATCACTCGTCAGGGACTCAAGAAATTATATGACCATTAATTTTTCAACATTCACTTCTAGGAAGGTGAAACAATCACATGATGGTGATTTATAATTTTTATCAAAAGTTCATTGACTTATTTAGCAATGAAGAGACATTGGATCAATCCTAAATATATGTATAACGCTGATATTCATGCTGCTACTTTAAGAGTAGATTTGATATTTATTCCACTTCTTCAGGAGTAGATATTAAACATATATTTTCCATTATTGTCATAAACCACACAATTTCAACTGTGAGGTAACATCACTAATGTACATTATGTAACTGTTCTAGAATATCAAATAATTGACTTCTCTTGAGCTTTAGGGAGAACATCTCATTTTCATGGTCATTTTAGTCTTTTATAGGATCAACATGTCCTATATCTTGAGAAATTCAACTCCCAAAATTTAATTCAAGTAGTGGAAAGATAATTAGAACTTTATTTATCCCGATTGATTTTCTTTCCAAAATTCGCATCTTCTGGATGCATGCTATAAGGATGCATTCTAGCATCTTAAATTTCTATTACATTGTAAACTTTAGGTCTACATTTGGTGTTCAGAAATTTTTTGTTCTAAATCCATATTTAAGAAATTTAAAATCTGATTTCTTTTTGAAAAGCAAGTAATGATATAAGAGATCAAAATGATATGTATAGAGAATGTAAGGACCAAATAAGAATTGTCCTTTATTCCATTTCCATGCATAACCCATTTTTTTCATTATTTCATTCAATGAGTGCAAACTATAAATATAAAAATGTCCTCGTGGTAATCTTAATATTTCCCGTACGTCAACAGTTCTGGATTTCGTTACCATATTTTCTTGTTCATCAATCTAATACTCATGCTAACAAAATTTCATGTTCATGATATGAAACTTTAGGTTCATTTATCATCTCAATTTGCAAACTTCAGGTTGCAATAATATTCATTGTATCAAATGATACTGATATAACAACAATATAATTCAAAATAATAAACTATAATAAACACATTAAAATGATAGACTAACCGCATTTTCTGATATGAAAGATCCAATTTTATGGGAATCGTAAAGCATACTCCTAACCATAGTCATATGTAGCAAAATATCATGTTCATCATTAATAAATACCGTATGGA